GTAAAGAGAGATAAGTGATCACATAAAAACCATTAAAAAAGACATATCATGGATTAACACACTATCTCTCTCTCTCTTTCTCTCTCTCTCTCACACACACACACACACGCACACACACAAACATATATATATGGAGAGAGAGAGAGAGAGAGAGAGAGAGAGACGGAGAGAGAGAGACAATACTCATGGTTAAATCGGATGTCTGTTAATATCTATCTATCTATCCAATTCTGTTCATATCTATCTATCTATCTATCCAATTCTTTTCATATCTATCTATCCATTCTGTTCCTATCTATCTATCTATCTATCTATCTATCTATCTATCTATCTATCTATCTATCTATTTATGCCAGTCTGTTCATATCTATCTATCTATCCCAGTCTGTTCATATCTATCTATCTATCTCAGTCTGTTCATATCTATCTATCTATCTATCTATCTATCTATCTATCTATCTATCTATCTATCTATCTATCTATCTATCTATCTATCTCAGTCTGTTCATATCTATCTATCTATCTATCTATCTATCTATCTATCTATCTATCTATCTATCTATCCCAGTCTGTCCATATCTATCTATCTATCTATCTATCTATCTATCTATCTATCTATCTATCTCAGTCTGTTCATATCTATCTATCTATCTATCTATCTATCTATCTATCTATCTATCTATCTATCTATCTATCTATCTATCTATCTCATTCTCATTTTATTCAGCATTCTCTATGTCTATATGTGTGCGTATACAAGAATGAATGATACTCGCAAATAATTAAATAAATAATGCGTGTGAAAGAGGAGGGGAGAGAAGGAGAAATATATAAGAAGGAAATTTGAAAACAACAGAGTTGAATAAAAGAGAAAGAGAGGAGATAAAATTTGAAAAAAAAGGAAGAGAAAAGAAATAAAAAGCAAAAGGTAAGAGAATGAAACGTAGCTGAACTTGGTCACATAATAATTAACCTAATTAATCCAATTACCTTAATTAACCAGGTGATAAAACTCAGAATAACCGATACCTGGTAACCATTTTTGCACACCCCATTTACATTGAGGAAATATTTTTTTATTCATAAAAAAGGACAAAAGAAAACAGTAATTTCAAATTAGGTTGATGTTGCTGAGTCCAGTCTCTTTCTTTCTCACTCTCTCCACCTGTCTTTCTCTCGTTCTAAGTATCGTTCCCCTTCAAGATGTGGGCGATCATGATTCTCTATAGCTTCCTGTCTTTTAGTGCTTTCGTCAATAATTTCTCTTTTAAGACCCTTCTTTTTCTTTGTTGTACTATTTTGCCATTCATTTTATTCGACCGAACTTGTCATACAGGTAGATTGTTACTTTTCTCTTCTTCTCTAACATTCAACGAGAGCCCTGTGCGTGCTCAATTCTGCAATGTGATTCTTGCATTTAAATCCCATTTTCAATCTTTTAGTGACATTTGCATTAAATAAGCAAGACTGTAAATTCCTATACAAATTTTTTCTTCTGTGTACTGTGTCCCTTCAAGGCCTGGGTGATCATGGCTCTCCACAATTTTCTGTCCTTTGTGACTTTTTGTAATTTTTTTTCTTTTTGCTATCTCTCCTAATCCCTGTTCTGTCAGCTATTTGTAAAAACTCTTTAGGTAGGTTATGCATTTTTTCCTCTATCTCGCTTGCCTTCCTGTGAGGGTCAAATTTTATAAGCCTTCTTTCCTCATTTGTGTGCCCTAGAAATCTCAACCCTCTCTTTCTAATGTTACGTATAAGTCTCCTTTTTGTTTCAGTTGTTTTAAACTTCGTCATTGATAACGTGTTCATCCCACGGTATTCTCATTATCCTTCTGTAGAACCACATTTATGTCGCCTCAAGTCTTTTCTTCGTCAGTAATGAGATTGTCCAGCATTCATGGGCATCTAGGAGGTCCGATGTTACATAACAGTTAAGTAATCTTTTTTTTTGTTTCTACAGAAATTTTCTTGTTTCTTAATACTTTGCTTAGTTTTTGGAAGGCATTTTTCACTATTTCAGTACGCTTTCAGGCTTTGGTGTCGCATTTTCCTTATTCAACTTTATTCTATTTTTTAAATATGTTCTAACTTTCATGATATGCTTCAGTTGAATTAATGTTTTTTTTATTGTATTTCATTCGCATTCTTTTGCATTCATCAGTTTTCACGTTCTATGCATTTTCCATTTTTCAATGGTTCTACCATTTTTTTTAATTCCTAGGATCTTTCTGTCTTCATACATGAAAGAACGAACTCCATGAATTACTTTAAAAACTTCTAAGAATCCTTATTTATAACTTCAGTATCCAACGCACAAACACGCATATATATTGAATGTTTACATTTTTTTTGTGTAAAATTCTTTATATACACTAAGCGTTTTTACAAATTATCAATTGAACAGGTCACGGACATCCTAGAAACTGTTATGGTCAGTTCAGTTGGCGGTCTGCAAATACGCCAACTTCTGAAAAATTATTTTGCATGAAAAAATATACAAATCATTATATTTTCATGTTGGTATTTGGTCTTTGAAGGTGTAAATAAGGATTCTGAGAATTTTGTAAAGAGATATTTCTTTTATGCAAGGAGAAAGAAAAATCCTTCGAAGAAAAGATGTCAGAACCAGTGGAAAATGCGAATGACAAAATTTGCTGAAACATAAAGGAACGCGATGACAAAAGGTTAAATAAAAATTTCAAAAATAATCATTTTGATCAAGTTTAATATCAAATGAATAGAAAAAATCTGGAAAAATACTAAAATAAAGTTGCTTAATTTTGGATAAGCCTGAAGTAGAAGAGACAAATTCGAATTCCGTTCTGGTCTGTTATGTTGACTTAACACAAAATGTTTCTTGAGAATGACATGAATCCGTTTGCTTCTCCACTATAGTAGAACAAAACGATCTTTTTAGCCTTGGTCGGTAACCAGTCTAGAGGAAAGACAAGTCTGAATTCAAATTTATATTTTATTTTTTTCTCAAGTACTTTCGCATGTTACTACATTCATTTTCAAGGATGTGTTTGTGTAAATGTTTTTGGTTAATTCCTGCTTTCAAGTTACTGACGGTGACGTCATTTAAACAGTCAAAGTTGAATTTTTGTGCGTATTTTAATTGATTTTTTTTAAATTATTTTTTTAAGATAAATAAATATGGACTTTAGTAAATTTACCGATAATATAAAACAACTAATTCGGAAATATAAAAAAGTTAATAAAAATTGGATAGTCAGAACTTGTCGATATTATTTGAAAATAAAAATATATCTTCAGAACAAGAGTTTAGTTTTCCCTCGCTTTTTTTATTTTAAGGAGACAGCGCAACTTTAACTGTTTTAAAATCTAAATAAATCTTGTGTTGGAAACAGATCCTACATAACTTTTAATAGATATATATATATAAAGTTGCACAGGAGCTCTAATTTTAGGTTGAAAACATTAATTAAGGAACGGTAGTTACATAACTGTTCCAACCTCATTGCATAGACTTTGTATCAGACAACTCTGTACTTCTCACGTTGAATCACACGACTCTATACTACTCACGTTGTATCACACAACTTATACAGCTCACGTTGAATCACACAACTCTGTACTACTCACCTTGAATCACACAATATACTTTTCACGTTGAATCACACAACTCTATACTTCTCACATTGAATCCCACAACTCTATACTACTCACGTTGTCACATGACTATATACTTCTCACTTTGAAACACACAACTCTGTAATTCTCACGATGAATCACACAACACTATGCTTCTCCCGTTGAATTACGCAACTCTGTACTTCTCATGTTCAATCACACAACTCTATACTACTCACCTTGAATTACACAACCTATACTTCTCGCATTGAATCACACAGCTCTATACTTCTCCTGTTGAATTACCCAACTCTGTACTTCTCACGTTGAATCACACAACTCCATACGTCTCACGCTGAATCCCACAACTCTATACTACTCACGTTGAATCACACAACATATACTTCTCACGTTGAATCACACAACTATACTTCTCCGGTTGAATTACCCAACTCTATACTTCTCACGTTGAATCACACAGCTCTATACGTCTCACGTTTGAGCCCACAACTCTATACTACACACCTTGAATCAGACAACATTTACTTCTCACGTTGAATCACACGACTTTATTCTTCTCACGACTCTATACTTTTCAGGTTGAATCACACAACTCAATACTTCTCCCATTAAATCACAGAACTCTGTACTTCTCACGTTGAATCACAGAACTCTGTACTTCTCACGTTGAATTACACAACGCTATACTTCTCCCGTTGAATCACTACTACATTACTACTAATGTTTCAGCCTACACGCTTAAATTTTATTTACTATGATTTTTATTTTTATTTTTTTTTTTTCAATAGGAGTAGATAGGTTTGTCTATCGCCTGGTTCATACTTCTTATAGATAGTTTACTGGGTTTACTGGATTGGGTTTCCACTTATTTTTACTAATCTCTTGTCATTTCTTTTCACCCACAATAACACCTTGTGTTTCGTCTTGCTTGGGGCGAAATTATTAAAAAAAAATCTTCACCC